AGCGGGTGCAGGCGGCGAACGCTAAGCTGGTCGCGTTCGAGCGCGGGTTCATCTCGGAGGAGGGCATCAAGGACCGGGAGTGGTACAGGCACTTGGGTGTCGCGCCTGGCAAGTGGCTCGGTATGTGGAATTTCCGCTACTCCTATGTGTTTCGTGGATTGCGATGCCGTCGGGCAGGGCCTCGGTGCTGCGCAGGCGCGCCGTATGCGATCTCGCTTGAATGCGGCGGAGAGCCGCAGGAGGGATGGGACACGGTACTGATAAGTTTTCTTCGTAGGGTACGGAGCGACGACTCTGCCGTCGATTACGGAGGCGTTAACCATTGATGTGAATGCGACGCTGGCGGAACAGGAGGCGAGACGAGTTGGGGCGCTATTAGACAAGCTGACGGAGACGATCAAAGTGTAGGAGATGCCTTCAGAGGGAGGTTTGCACTGGCAATGGGCGTGTGTGCTTGCCGTGCGTTGCTGGATATTGTAACCCCCATACATCCCAGCCTGCGATGTGCGTTGCGCTCACTTTGCCTGTGTTTTGTTTGTATAGATATGATGGGTGAATTGGTATGCGTGTACCCAAAGCGACTCGGAGGTGGTTAGTGGCCGCTGACTAGGAGGCCTAAGGATTCGTTCTCGCAGTGAGGCCCGGCGGGTGCCGAAACGCGCGATGCGATCGAAATGGGCGTGGAGTCGGGTTATGTCACGCGACAGACAAGGAGACGGATGCCCGAATAAGCTGTGCGCCTTCCTTCTCGGAGAGCCGTCCATAACTTACGGTCTTCAACTCACCCCCGTACCTTCCACGTCTGATGCCGCGGCGCTACGATTCCCCTCGAGCGATGTTGAGTACGCAGGAAGCCGTCCGCGCGATCAATATTCAATGAGGAGTTACTTTGTCGCAGACTCGCGAAGTCCTGACATATGCCACCCATGATGTCATTGACCGCTCACGTCTTCCTTCACCAGCCCGGTGTATATATACATCTATCCTCAACTCCTGCTCTCCAGCAACAGTAGCCGATCTCCTCGAAACCTGCACAGCACACTCACAACGTCCTTCTTGTACAACACCCATCGCAATGGATCCAACTAACAAGCCCAAGGGTCCTTCGCCCCATTACTCCCTGTACCAGCGCGAAGTGTTCAAGCTTGGAGGCGAGAAGGGAATTTGTACGTACCGGCTCATGCTGGCGGACTGTAACGAGATCTCATGATCATACAGTGCCAAGCTTCTCAGTCCACCCCGACGAGCTGCAGGAGTCGACCAAGAAGAAACTTAACGACCGTGGATACTTTTACGCTAACTCCAATGCAGGCCTCGGTTGGACCGATAGAGCGAATAGGTATGTGCCTTTCTAGTGTCTGAGAGAATACCATCTTTAGTGACTGACTTGTCCGGTACAGGGAGGCCTTCTACAGATGGCGTATTATTCCGCGTACATGCGTGGACACCAACACGCGCGATTTGACGAGTGGGTTCACCTGTGAGAATCGCAGCGGTAACACGATCTCATATTGCACTGCTTTGTAGCGACGATCTTCGGACACAAGATACCGGTTCCAATTATGTTCGCGCCTATCGGTATCAACAAGCTCTACTCGCCTCTCGGCGAGCTTATTCCTGCTCGCGTCGCCGGTGAGCTCGGTATGCCGGTGAGCAGTCCCGCAAAGACTAGTTGACATTTGGGCATGACTCTTGTGGGCCTAGTATTGTCTATCTACGGCGTCATCGCAGCCCATTGAGGAGGTCGCCCGCGTCAATGATGAAGCCGCGTCGGTGAAGAACGAAAGTAATGCTGTGCATCAGTACAATGGTAACTTGACGTCGACGTCGAAACAAAAGCAACTGAGTGTGTTCTGATAAAATGGCGAGAGTAAGACAACACACACTATCCCCGACAGCCTCCGCGATCTCCGGGAGAACGTCCAAGCTCCCAACCGCGCCGTCAACCTGGCGGCCAGCGTGATTCGTGACCACGATGCCATCGCAGCCTATCTCGAGAGCACGGTTTGCGTCCGCAACGCTCTGAATGCCTTTCAGCACGAACGGGCGGCCGTCCGAGATCTTCTTCCATTCGCCAATAAGCCAGCGGACCTTCTCCCACGTGTGCGGCTTGCCGTGCCAGACGCTTGAGTCGATCCAGTGGCCTTTGTCCTGCGCGAGGTCGTCGTGGTGCTTGGCCATGTAAGCTGGGTCGGACTCGCCAAGTTCGTTGCCCGGCGTGCCAGGATAGTAGAACCTGCAGGTGATGTCGGCACGTAAGCACGTCAGAAGAGAAGGCATGGACGTGCGTGTAGTTGGCGATGTTGATATCTGTGGGACGCCAGCCCAGCTGCCAGGTGTCGGTGGTGAGCATGAGAACGTCGAATCCGGACTTCCAAGCGCGGTTGAGAAGAGAAAGTGTCTACAGGAGGAGTGAGGTAGGTACCATGCTGATTGTGAATATCGCAATGTACATACGACTTCGTCATCGTGAGGCATATAGAGCTGGTAGAAGCGGGGGCTCTTGGCGTTGCCACCATTAGGCCCTGTGTAGGTATCTTTCTGAAGCATGCGACTTACACTCACATGACTGTGCCTGCAGAGATGACCATCATCTTCGATTCGGGCATCCGCACGGGAGCGGATGTCTTTAAGGCGATCGCTCTCGGTGCGCACGTCGTCATGATCGGCCGCCTGTTCGTGTGGGGCATGTCGCACGAAGGCGTGCACGGGTGCAGGCACGTCATCAAGAGTCTTCTCGCCGACCTGGATATCCTTATGACCGTCGCGGGATACCGCTCGATCACCGAGGACGTCTATAAGAACAAGGAGGCCTTGCGATACTCCCCGAGCGGCGTGCCTCCGGGTCCGGCTGAGCATGCGAGATTGTAAGCCGTGCCAGGCGGAGTACGAGACTGCACGCGGCTTCCAGCAATGTAAATAGAGTTAGGGTATTCGATGGCTCCCTGTATCGTCGACTTCGAATCTATCACCACTCCCGCTCAATTGGAATAGATTGCCTCGTCCTGGATAACTTAAAGCCTGTGCAGAGAGACTGTGAGCGTACAGCGCGTAACTTCGACAATGGCTGATATTGCTCACCTCAACCACCCCGAGATTGGGTGTACCCAGGAGGTTCGGGAGGTTGGAAGTGAGCTGTGGACAGGTTCCGCGATACTGAGATGCCCTGGCGTAACACGGGAGAGGTCTGACAGACCAAATAAGGTCGGTTAGTATTTGATAGGCCAGTACTGCATGATCATATGCACCTCGATGCCGGATCCACTCCCAACAGCCCATTGTCTGCCTCCTTCCTCGGGCGGCTGGAAAGTGACTACGGGATTCGTCGCCGTCGAAGTCGGCAGCCCAGCACCGCACTCCGCCATCTGGACGGCTGAGGAAGTCGACCCGAAATCCTTTCTGCTCTCAGCTACTGAGTCCCTTAAGGTTGACATCTCCCCTCGGCCTGCGTTCATGTCCCGCGATTCCGCAGAGTTGGCCGTGTCGTCGGCCCTTTGCCACCCTGAGAGCGTGCGACGCCCGAGAGAATTAGAATTCAGCCGCTCGCGGAACTTCGTACGTGAGTTGATCATGCGGAGGAGTCCGAGCGCATACAGCTTGCCGGTGAGGATGGCAAAGAAGAGGTCGAGGTGCGAGCGCTCGACAACGGACTTCCCGGGGCCCTGTGCGTCACGGATGGAGAATATGATGCCGGAAACAAGCATGCAGATCGAGGGTAGCGCGGCAGTCTCCCAGGTCAGGAAGATGATGCAGGCGACGGTGCGGTCCAGATGGGGGAGTCCGGTTCTCGTTCGCCATAGGGAGACGGACACTGAAGTGGAGGTTGAGTGAGCGATTGACTATGCGTGGAGGGTAAATAGACGAGTACGTATGGATGTCAACGAGATTGCAGTTACGAGTTGACTATACACCCAAAGGGGGTATGCGTAGGTACTGGCATGCAGCAGCTGAGTATATGCCGGTCCGTCAGAATAAGTCCCGCGATCCCGAATCTCGACACATACGCACATCCGTACGACCCTGGTCGATGCTAGGACCGATGACCATGGCTATCTTCGCGGTCTTGGGAAATGTGTTGCGTTGTGAGTCAATAACATACGAAGACCACGCGAGTGACATCACACTGACGAGGATGAGGACCGCAACGAAGGAAGTGGCCGAAAGCGCCGACAGGATGAGCAGGACCGCGATGTTCCTACCGGTCACCTAGGTTTGTAATGAGGAGCCCGAACTTCGTTGAAGCAGACTGAAACCTACTTTGTAGCATCGTCTTATGAGGTACGACTCACATAGAGTACAGATTACTGCGTTCCAGAGGGGCTCAGTAGGCAGTATGGGATAGATCTATTGAAGTTTGGTTAGGACATCTGCACGTCTTGAGAGGGAGGGCAAGGATACGTGCGTGGTGTATAACATCGATTGTTACAAGCCACACTATGTAGCTCTCAAACACGGTCTGTACTCTATGCAAAGCCCGATATTCGTCCATGTATGCGCGTATATGCAAAGGAGGTCGAGCCTACATCGAGAAAAACACGAGCAAGAAGACATATACTCGTAGTGTCATGGGATCGCCTTGGCATCTGTCGTAGAACTTGATAGCCTGTCTCGAGAACCGTTTCCACTGACTATTCTCGAGCGAGATGCGAGAGGTGAGCGCATACCTGCGTGATGATGACTCCTGTTCCCCGTGTCAAGATATTCATTCCCTTGATAGAGTGTACTTTATAGAAGGCAGACGCACCTTGAAACAAATACTGCAGAAAGCCTTGGATCAGAGCAGGCCCTATCATTGCCGCATCCGGTTTCCCTGTTGTATACAAGGCCTCCCATTGGGTGAAGTCGGCCACATTTCCCGCAATAGCCATTCCGGGAGTAATGCAGGATATAAGTGTGCCGTAACAACGCGAAGAGTGGTCGTGGCAGAAAAGAGGGGGACGGGCTTCGCATAGAGTCTTACCTTGACCTGGATGCGACATGGAGGCTTGCACGGGCGCGGACTCGATCATTATGCCTGCACAAGGTAGCCAGTAGACCGGCGGGTCAGAAGACGATATGCATGGCGAGACGGAGGCTCCGTTGATCAAGGAGGTTGGGATAATAGCAACGGGATTATGAGGATATAATGAAGTACATGGCCAGCAGCTGGAGTGGGGATGTTTGCTTGCGCCTACCGTGTCACTGGAGCGATTAGTGGCGCCGACCATATACGGATTCATAGGAGAAATTATAATGAGCTACGGGTGCCGCACAAAGTTAGCATTGTGCAAGAGTGGATGATGATGGTATTAAGAGCGAAAGCAGTCGTTGCGGAGATAGCACAAGGCGATAGGAGAGACAGACATTCGCAGGACTAGGCTGGGGCTTCCTCCGCCGCGCGAGCCTCCGCCACTCGTGCCTTGAGAATCTCCCAGCCCTTAGGATGGACTTGCTCGCAGTGCTCAATGAGGACCTGATATGGAGCGTCGATGAACGGGGTCGGGACCTCCTCTGGGAATCCGCCCCGCTGACGAGATCTGCGCGTGAACGACTATGAGTATCCGTACCCGACCTGACGGTGACACAGGGAAATTCGACACAGACCTGCACATTCGGCACCACTTGATGGTCTCGTCCGCTTCATCCTCGTCGAAGTTTGCTTCTAAACAATCTTCCTCAATGGTAGTCCCCTGCTCTTCAGGCTGCTCCGCCCCCTCGTTCATCATCGTCACATCTCCGACAGGACCAGCCGTGGGCAGCGGCGGACGTTGAGCAGGTGGCAGACCTGAGCGTTCCTGCCCTGCATAGGTAATGGTGGACATAACCACAGGGGCGGTAGGGCTGACGACGTGCTGTTGAGGAGGGTGAGATCTGGGCAGCATTGCTGATTGAGGTGCTATGTCAGCCCGAGTCGGGGACAAATTCCCGACTGTCTCGGGCTGACGTATGGACGTAGCAGGAGCGGGGATAGATGCATTCGCCCCCGAAGGCCCCGCGGCCGGTGCAGGAGCGTGGTCGAGTTTCCTCTTCTTCGCAGCATCTTCTCGCTCATCGTCACTAGTGAGATCGATGATTGCGCCCGCCAAAGAACTGCTTGTCGATTGCTGTGGTATGGGCGGATGCATATGCGAAATGGTCGGTCTCGAAGATGGTCGAGATGATGAGGCTGACCGGGGAAAGACAGGGAGGTGGCCTTGCGAAGTGCCCGGTCGACTGGAAACAGGCGTGGCTGGATTGCTGTCGGCCAATGACATTCCCGAAAAGTTGTTGATAGCAGAAGCGGCCAATGGACTCTGAACGAGACCAGCGGAATGTCCGGAGATCAACTGTGCCGGGGCAGACGGGCGTCGTTGATGTGAAATGGCCGACGGCGCAGCTGTTGTATTGAGAGGCCCTAGCGTTGGAAGAGAACCTCGGTGCGCCGGATGCGCCGGCTGCAAGATGCGGAGACCAGGTGGTGCTTGCTACCATGTCCGGTGAACCTTGTGTTCATCACCACAGCAATACTCTAATAAAATTAGCATACCTTCAAGTGCGGCAGATTTGGATGATACACAATGTTGGGCGGGGCTGGCTTGGAAAGGCTGTCAAGTATGGATGGAAAAAGAGCATTAGTAGGCGCACCAGAGGCTGGAATTACAGTCTGCACATGAGGATGGATGACAGCACTTCTCGTCCCAGGTAGAGGAATCAAAGCAGCACCGGGCGGTGGCGGCGCAACCGTAGCCGTCGGCACAAATCGCGCAAGCTCCTGCCGCAACACAACAATCTCGTTGAACCTGCAGCACAAACATCTCCACAACAGCTCCCCTAGAGATATGTTATGAGTCGTGACGTACGCTGCGTGCAAACTCCTAGACAGCTCGTCGCGTTCAGTCGTGAGCAGCCGGACTCTTTCATGTAATTCGGAGATTGTTCGCTTCTGCTGATCAGCGGGGTCATCTAACAGCTTCCTATGCTGTTCTTGTTGCTGAACGAATGTCGCAAGCGTGCGGTTATCCAAGTATAGTTTCGCGTTGGCATCTCGAAGCATCGTGTTATGTTTTTGCACATCGTGGCACTGTTGTTGCAATTGGGCATTTTGCTTCTGTAATTCTTGCAATTCGTGTAGTAGCATAGGAGAGTATCCTAATTCCTTGAGACACGCGTTCTGTGTAGCAGCAAGAATGGTAAGGAGCTCCGCATCTGCCTTCTGCGCGTCGCCACCAGGTTCTTTGTGATGCGACGTCCTGTTTCAATTTAATGAGTAAGCTGAATCATGTTAGAAGTGACAGCACGAGAGGAAGCGTACTCTTCTGGCACGATCTGTTCCGTCGGTACTGAAATGTCCACGTTCATGCCCTCGTCCATGTTGTGCCTAGTTTGACTAGTGGCGATAGGCAGCCCGAGCGCGTGCGAGGATACAGAGTCAGAGAAGGTGGCGGATCACTGGCAGGTCGACGTGCGCGACGACGAGACGCCGTGGCGTACTTAAGTAAGTACTCGTCCCGAGGGCTCGGTCCAGAGCCACGTGCCCCCCTCCCTGAATTTGGCAGGTCGCATTCTATTTCGGGTGATGCAGTCGGACTGGAGATGCATCGGCGATGTTTCGCTACGTTGGAAGTCCAGAGTTCCATGCACTGTGTAAGTCTGATCACGCAGCTTGAAGAATATTGAGGCGAGCGAACCCTGTACCACAGCAAGATAACGAGAGAGAGTCCGAGGGGCTGCTCGGCACTATGGTTGATACACCCTGCCGCCTCCACAGTGCCAACTATACAGATGATATGGGATCTATACGTAAACAACAGGTAGGACGAGGAGTTGGCCTTATGCCGCCCGTGAATATCATGAATGAATGCGAGTGTTGCAGTCCATGCGAATGAGGGTTGATGCGGCAAGCAGTGTCCGACGGTTGGGAAGCAGTCCAAGGATAAATCTCCATGCTGTCGTAGATCGAAGAATTTGGGACTAATTCACACCCGGCATATCCATCCCGTATCCACAGAGAAGGCAAAAAAGGAGCGCTACAGAGCATGCGGAGAGGCATAATGTGGCTAGTGTGTGGTGTGCGTATGGGCTCTACGGCAGCGAAAAACAGATTCGGACAGTGGTCAATGACTGCTATGGAGGGCGTTGGGAGAGCGACGGCTCTGTCGGCCGACCCCAGTCAATAGACCCGTCACCTTCCGGATTCACTACCGTCTCGTACGCAGGCGCGTGCTGGTAGGGCGGAGGCGGCGGCCGCCAACGAAACGACTCCAATGCACGGGCGAAGGTTGCCATCCGGTCTCGCTCCATCTCTTCCATCTCCCTCTCCAGATTATGCCGGTTGACATACACGCTTACTCGATCGAGGGGGGGAGTGCGCTTGTAGGCATACAGGAAGCGTGCCAATGCCAGGACGACGACCAACCCTACAACGCCCGCAATGACCTCGAAGGCAATTGCAACGGCGCTCTGGCCGTGCCCATTGGAGTTTCGTGACGACGATGGGGCCATTGTGGGGAAGGTTGGTGGGAAGGGGTGTGAGTGCGTTATTGGAGAACCAGCAGAGTGACTCCATGATGGATGGAAAGTGGGATGGGGACGGGCGGTGGGAGGGATGATAATGGAATGGGTCGAGCCTGTGACCGTAGCTGCAGAGCGCGTGTCAGATGAGGAATGGTCGCCATCATCGCCGTGCCCATCTGCAGCAGCATCGTGTGTCGGGGATGAGGAGACCGCAGCGCTTGTATGGGTGGGGGAGGAAGATGTGTGGGTCGTGGACGTGGTAGAGGGGACATGAAAGGATGTGCTGCTGTCAGCAGGAGCGGCGCACGCGAGTCTGGATGATAGACAACACGTCAATCCTGGCTGGACGTATTCGGGCGGGTGTGTATCTCAGAAGCGATAGAGTCGCTCGCATTCCGGGCGTAAGGAAACGGTACAAGCACTCACTGGATACAGGCTGCAAGAGCAAGGATGCATTGGAACCAAAGACTGTAACTTGGCCGCATGTGCCCAAATCCCGCACTCCGCCCACGCAAGCGCGGTTTCCAGTGGCCAGCCGCGAGTCGGGTTCAATGGCTTCACGATGGAGAGGAACCGGAAGGACAGACAGGACCGAAGAGGAGGGTAAGGGAAAGAGAAACAGAAGGAAAAGTCAAGCATGCGCGACGAACAGATGGGAACGAGTTCCGGAACCAGTACTCATGGCATAGAGGGGACTCCGGGGCTGATGATAGTCCTGCCGCCGGGTCCCAAAATACGCGGGAGGCACTGCGCCCGGGCGCCAGTAACGCAGTCACTCCCTCCTGCGGTGGCTGTGCCGTTCACATTCACACGCGAGGTCGATCATGTCCGATTTGAATATCGTACATTGATATCGATGGCTTGCCATCCGCCGGCAATATACTAATCTCTACCCTCCCGCCGTTGCTTACTGCACAGAATAGCCTGCAGATTTCCCTGCTTGCTCTCCCAAAGCACGGTCGCAACTTTTACTCACAGACTACACATTCATGCTTATCAGACGCCGCTGCCTGGTCGACCACGCAACGTTCACACCTGCCCGGTGGCAGGCGACAAACTGATCTGATGTTGACATCTCGCACTATGGCATGCGGTCATGATAGAGAACTATCAAACCTCCCGATGTCTCGAGCTGCTTCGACCCCGCGGGTGTTATAATCTCATGTCAATGCCGCGGATACCAACATAGCCCACGGGGGATTTATGCCTTGCACTCATATACGGATCGCACAATGCCCTCTTGAACCCCCGATCTACTATATCTTCGAATAACACTTAAGACGCTCAAACTCATCAAAATGCTGTCGAATAGACAGTTGCTTCCGATGGATGACCCCACTAGGTAGGTGTAGTGACTGAAACCCGCCAGACATTGAGTTTCATGCACATGCTCCACCGACTACCTTTCTCGTTTTGGATAGCGCCTCACTGCCCGAACACGCGGTCAACCTTCCCCGACATTTTTCTTGAGGTGACATGCTTGGGCAAGACAGAACAGAGAGTGCATATGAGTGTCTCTAAGAACTTTGTTGCATGACTGTCTCCTAGCCATGCAATCAGCTCTCGAGACGTGTTGGTCAAACCCTGCCACATCTTGATTTCTTGCTGCACAATCTCCGAACAAGACAAGGGACTACAGTACCACCACTACCGAGGCTTGTACCTTGCCATGTCTCTGTTATGTCGGGCCGTGTTTTATATGCTTTATTCCAGATACTATGCCTTCGCATCGCACGGTTGTGACATTTCGCGTAGCGTCGAGCTATTGATTTCATGTCCCTTGACTTGTACCATGCTCCTAGTATATAGCTGACTAGTCTAGGTGTCGGATGCCCGCTTGGATCATCGCAGAGCAGCAATTTTCGTGAACGCATGTTTAGCTCGGGGAGCGGGGGAAACTGACTCGCTTTCGTGGTCTATTTTGACGTCGTTCGGAATTTTGTCAGTATTCTCTACACAAGCTATCTGACAATAAAACGACGCAGCTGAAACTTGACTTGATTGGCCGGGAATACTGGACTCGACTTCGGTAGCAATGCATACACACTTGCACAACATCTTCTTTCGACGCGATATGCTGTGACGAAGCTCGAGAATTCATCATGTGGTTTTCATGATCACCCAGGAGAGATGAAAGCACCTCCGTCATCGAAAAACTCTACTTTTCTAGACAGGAGCTTACTCACGACGCTCCCGATCTAACTCCCCTGCAAAATATCCGCGTTTCGCGGCAGGAGGAGACTGTCGCACGGTCCACTGTCCTTGGCGACTCGTGTGAAGCCTATGTGAATTATGAGGGACTTGGCCTTTTAATGAATCACTGGACCTTCTTCCAAGGGGAAATTTGGCATGAGGCCATGATCTGGCTGGGAACAGAAGGGTCAGCAGGACAGATCGTCGAGTCATATGTTCTCCAGTGAGCTTACATTGAGGATGCTCCCAAACACCCAAGAAACCTTCCCACAGCATGTAATATCTTCACCTACCTTCCCGTCGTAGCGGTCGACTGCGCATGGACGCGTGTGGGTAGAGTGTGCCAGTTCGGCGCTGGGCCCAACGGTTGAACGGGCTGACCCAACAAAACCACGTCGAAGAGTTGAGTACTCACTGAGTCATTGATCGCTTCGCGCCCCTCCTAGCGCGGATGCCGCCAGACTCCATAAGCAGTAATGACCAAATGCTGTTCAGGTTGCTTACTAATGCAGAGTAAGGTTAGAAGCGTCAAGGGACACAGCAAGGACAGGGGTTGGACGCTGAGGAGGGGACTGCACATGTCGGGCACGTTTATAGTTGAGTGATCCTGTCTGGCTCTGCATTCCGCTACTTATGTAGAGAAGGCAAACAGTTCATGCATGCCATGGGTCTGGTCGAGCGAACGTTCGAGCACGGGGAGCTCAGTCGGGCATCCGGTAGAAGACGGAAGAGAACCCGGCGCTCAGTATCGCGTGATTACGTGAGGCCATCGGTAATGCAGACAGGGCTTTCCGGCAGGACTCCCTGAATGAGGCACTAAATCTGGCCAGGATGCACTTATTTCTTGCGCTTGCCCCGGTCATACCATCCGCCGCCTCGGCTTTTATACCGCACCATCTCCGGGCTCTGTCCAGCGACTCAATTCTCACCCACAGTCGCAATACGCCAAGCTTGAGAGCCTCGAACTTCGAGTTCTAGTCTCGTCTACCCGGACGTACTTCCCCCTCCGCTTCTCTTTTGGAAACCAAAATGGCCCACCGCGACGATCATCGAGGCATAGAAGACTCGCTTGCGGATCTCGAGTTACTCGATATGCTCACCGCGCCGGCATTCCCGAATGCGCATGAGCTCAAGGGTGCCTACAAGCGCAGAGACGCCGACCTCGACCCCTTGCTTCTCGCCGCCGCCGCATCCTATGCCCATGTCACTCGCAATCACTATGCCCATGATTTCTTTCCTGCTATCGGAGACCCGCGTGCGGAGGGCGCGTACGATTGGACTAAGTGGCAGCCCGGGGCCGCGCGACAGGAGCGCAAGCCTCGTCTCAAGTATGAGAGCAGGCAGGCACCTCGCTCGCAGAGGCTGAAGCAGCTGGGGCTGGAAGGGAAGGAAAACGACTCGGTGAGGACCGCTTCTACGCCCTTACGTGCCGCGGACAACCTCCCATTGCCCACGCCGAAAATTGCTCCTCGCGAACCCTCTTCCTCCTCCGCTTCGGCGAGCACGCAAGTCCCCCCGAATCCCGAGCTCGAGGTTCAGTGTATGGCTCGAACTCGCGTCCCCACTCCGCACGGACCCGTGTTTCTACACTTATATCATAACAACCGCGACAAGAAGGAGCACCTCGCCATCGTTGTCGACCCCGCGCAGCTGCAGGAAGATTATCCCTCCCTGGCGCCCTCCATCCGTAGCCGCACATTAGACGCTATCTGGTCCGACTCGGAGACGGAGATGGATCGTATCACTCGCGGCGCGTATGTCGGACGTCTGTCAAAAGACTGGCAGAAACCTTCTCATCCCGGTGTAGGGCGTGCGGTTACGCCCAGCCTGGACACGATACCCTCGCCGCTCATTCGAATTCACTCTGAATGCTTCACTGGCGAAACCATCGGTAGCATGCGCTGCGACTGCGGTGAACAGCTCGACGAGGCGATCCGCCAAATCGCCCTGCCTATCACTGTTCCCGACCCCTCCGACCCCGCACGCACCGTGACCATCCCGGGCCGCGGAGCCGTCATCTACATGCGTCAGGAAGGCCGCGGCATCGGCCTGCTGTCCAAGATTCGTGCGTACAATCTCCAGGACCTCGGGCACGACACGGTCACCGCGAACCTCTTGCTCGGCCATCAGGCGGACGAGAGAGGTTACGAGATAGCGGCCGCCATCCTCCGCGACCTGGGCTTGGGCGCGGACGGCTTGGAAGGCGTCCGGCTACTAACAAACAACCCCGACAAGATGCATGCGCTGGAGGAGGAGGGGATCAGGATTGTTGAGCGTGTGCCGATGGTGCCGCGGTCGTGGCAGCGCCGGCAACACCATAAGCTCGGGCATGACCTCGCGGATGCCCACGGCTATGGGGAGGACGAGAGGGTTAAGGGCGCGACGATGATAGGGGGAGGGGAGGTGTACGGGGAGGATCTGGACAAGTATTTGCGGACGAAAGTGCTACGCATGGGCCATATGCTGCCTTTACTCTCGGACACTTCAGACTCTTGAGCTTGGTGGGGTGTAAATTATATGTCGTGTAACAGAATGTAGAAGACAGATGTAGTGTTATTGATTACTGGACCGTAATACCACAGAAGAAATAGCTTCATCACTGGGTGCTGATATCGAAAGCGGTGGAGGCCCAGACGCCGCCATCCCTAGGCGCCTCCAAGTGCGCGGCGCATTCTACTTCGTGCGAGTCTGCGACGACGCCCCGCTTTGCCCCGTCCCCCTCAGCAGCACTCTTCACCATGTCCATGTTCGACCCTTTGTCTGTCCCTAACTTCCCGCAGGATGAGCCGCCATGGCCGACAACTCCCCATATGCCCAATGAGCCCATACCCAACCTCCCGCGACCCTCACCACATCATCAAGACTCGCGTGGTCCTCCCACAGGTTTGTACGGGAGAGAGCCGCAGATCTATGGCCAACCCGAACCAGGTCTCATTTCTCCTCGTGCGACCACGTCCTCCACCGGCCAACCGCTGGAGAAGAAGGAGCCGTACCTGCGAGTGCGAATTACGTCGCTTGACCGGAACAGGCGAGATGTCCTTATTAAGTTCGACGCTCAGGTGCGCATCCAATATGAAAGGCCTCTTCCCTTCATATTGCGATATGTCCCGATGTATTTTGGTATCTAATACACACCAATTGCACGTCCCCAGACAAACCTCTCCAACTTCACAGGCACGACGTACCGCAATGTCTCACGCTCCTACCTCGAGTTCCAGCAGTTCTACGAAGCCATCATCCAGAACAACCCGCAGACCATAGTGCCTGCCCTGCCCCTCGCACGTACCTCCGCTCCGACGGACGAGGAAGACGACCGGCTCGTGAAGATCATGCTCCAGCGCTGGCTGACGCGCATCTGCGAAGACCCAATCCTCATTCACGAAGAAGAGCTCCGGTCCTTCATAGAAAGTGACTTTGGATACCAACCGACTCCGAACACACGCAAGAAGGCATCTGGCGGATTCAGCCTGATTCGCCGAGGGGTTCCGGACGAGGACGAGGAGCTGCAGAGGGCGCGGTTCGAGTTGACGAAGCTGGAGGGGCAGTTCTTCGACTCGGCGAAAGCGATTGATAAGCTTGCGCGGGCGCGGAAGTGTACGTTTGCGTTTTAGCTACATGCGTTTGAAGAGAGTGAGGGCTGATGGTCTGTGTGTTGCAGCCATCGCCGTCGTCAAAGCCGAAATGGGCAACAAACTCCTTAGCGTTTCGACGGCGGAGGCTCACCCTCCGCTTGGCAATGCCCTGGCCAAGATTGGCCGCGTCTACCACAGTCTTGCTGACCTTGACCAGGCGCAGGGTATCAGCGAATGTGTTATCATCGGAGATTCATTAGGCTATCAGGGACTCAATGCGCGCTCCGCGAAGGAGACCTTGCAGCAGAGGACGGGCGTCCTGGAGGAATACCAAGCAGCAGTAAAAGCCACGATCTCTAAGCGTCGGAACATGGAGCGACTAAAGGCCAGCAACAACATAAGCCCTCAAAGGGTCGACGAGGCGCTTGAGGAGATGGAAGAGGTGTGTTCGCGGCGCGATATGATACTAGGCAATGGATCTGACTCTCACCTCGCAACTCAGGCGAACAAGTACGAGCAAATCCTAGCTCGCCGCGCTGAGGGCATATCCCAGAACCTTCATCGTGCACTAGACAGACACAGGCGGTTAGTTACCGAGGATGTCACAGCAGCACTCGTGGAGCATGTACGCTCAACCATCATGTACGAGAGACAGCATCTGCGAGAACTCGAAGCACTGCGACCGGACGTGGCAAATGCGGACAAGAAGCATGTGCCTCAGAAGCCTGTCAGCACCCCTCGGCCCACGTACATCCCTCCGTTGGAGGAGTTCTCCAAACCTGCGATTCCGCGTCCAGCGTCGGGTCCTCCATCGAACGCGCCACGTCCGCCTTCGCAGAATGTTCCTGCACCGATCAGCGCTACATCGTCCATGATCGGCTCTCCGTCGGGCGGCCGCCCTCCCATCAGCGTCGCTGTATCCACGAACGGATCGTCGCACGGACCACTCTCACCGGGCAGCGTATCCTCACCACTTCGTGCCCCGCTTTCGCCCCAGTCCCCTGGAGCAGGTCCTTCGTCATCGTCATCCCCAGTGCCCTCGCAGTCCTCCTTCGCGCCTCCTCTCATAAACGGTCCGCCTCTCGGGGGCCGCTTCGTCGACGGAACCAAGTCGATGTTTGTCAAGTCACCTTCCTCACCCCTTGCAGCAACCGGGAGCACGCCGACCAAACCCGCATCTGCTGGTCTACCCCCTGTACCGTCATCCGCGGTGACCCAATCCACGCCGGTTTCGCCCCTCCATGGGACTGTATCGGGACCCCCTTCCTCCGTTCCCTCTCCAGCCCCTCATCCTCTCGCTAGAGCAGGCGATCCGCTATCGGCGTCCATGTTTGTTACGTCGAGCAACCCCCCGGCAAACGGTCGCTCGAACTCAGTGTCAGCCTCCAGTGACGGGTTGGACCCCCTCGGCATGGTCAAACCTGCCTATATGTCCGCCTCCGTGCGCGTGCAGCCCACGCGCCCGCGGTTAGATGCGAGGGAAGCTGCGAGCAAGCTTGCCAACATGTTCTAAGATCGACATGCTGTACCTCTGCGACTCTCATACATTATGGTTTGTTGTACCGTGCATTAACACAATGTGGCTGCCGAATGATATCATCTGCTGTCTACTCGTACATGTCCATGATGCCATACTGTAAATCATCGCGGCTGAACAAAAAGCAGCGGTTCGGCTTCCAATTGGAATGAAGAGGGGTGTGTGGCGTTCACGAGATGGTATCGCTCCTGGCGGCCGTAGACGAATTGCCACTTCTCCGTTGTTGCGTTCCAGAAGACGTTCTCCTCCACTCGGAAGCGGAGCGTCTCGTTTCGCTCCTCCACGAAGTGGTACGCGTAGAGCTCGATACTGTAGTACGTGTTGGGGAGGATGGGGAGCTCACCCAGTATCGGAACGAATTCAGGGAGGTTCGTGAATCCTGTGCAGCATGCTCAGCGCAGGGACAGAGGACATCGGGTTTACGTTCCTGTATCTCACCCATGACCGCTCCAGGCGCATGTCCCCAATCGCCGATGGGATGGGAGTAGATCTGGCCTCGGATACCCTCGGCCTTCATCCGGACCAAGCACTCCTGCAAAACCTGGTTTCCAGTCTTACCAGCCTTCATATTCTCCAAGACGATGGTTTGCATGCGGTTGGCCTTCTGCATGCCGACCTTGAGCCCAGGAAGGGCGTCGGTCTCGTTCTGTGACGTCCGCAGGACGTACGCCATGTGCTGCACGTCAGTGTTCATACCCATAGCAGTGATGCCGAAGTCGACGTGCAGGAGGTCGCCCTCTTGGATGACATCCTTGGTGCCTGACCACCCTGGGAAGGACTCTGGGGTGATCACGGAGACGCGAGGGTGGTTCCATGTGCTCACATTGAGGAGGAGCATCTTCTCGCGGAACCACCACTCGACGTCCTGAGAGACCAAAAAAAGTCAGCGTGTCTTCTTTAGGGTTCCTTACGATGGACGATGTCACCTCAGTGGTGGTCACTCCAGGGGTGACGACCTCCTCGCTAAACGCTTCCTCGACGAGGGCCCAAGTCGTCTCCTGCAAGTCCCGGTAGTACTGCAGCTGACCAGGGACCCTGGCTGCGATATATTCGACCCCGAGCATGGGCTCGTTGACAGCGCGTTCCGTCCACTCTCCGAGCTCTTCCATCAGGTTTTCGTATTCGCCGACGTGAAGGCCTCCCCCGAACGCGATATACTTGTCCGTGTTCAGCGCGATCCGTTGCGGCCGGTAGGAGTCGAAGATGGTCCGGAGCTCCGGCCAGACGTCGCCCGTGTTGTCGACCCATCGTATCGGGTTGGACCGTCCGGCCAGGGAAGACGTGTTCGTGTGGAACAGCAAAACTGTGCGCCGATGGGGTGCGTACTCCGTCGCGTCCTTCACCGACCACCACAGGGTGTCTTCAGCATATTCGCGCTGACTGATCTGGAAACATACTGTCAGATCATCTGCGCTGTCAAAATATATATAGATGCAGCAACAGGACATACTAGCCAAGCGTCGATTCTGTACTTGCTCAACAGAGAGGGTATAGTCTCTAGCCGCTCATCGCGCCAGATATCGAGGATGGCGGCTTGCTCACGAAGGGAAGGCAGCCGACGATAGTGCGCGGGAGTAGACGGATGCAGCTGTGCATTTGCGATACGAAACGACAAGAGTGCGACTTGCAGCAGTACGAATACCTGCAACATGGTCGCGCAGCGGAAAGGGCGAACAACTGAGCTCTCCCGTCGATACATACGTATGACGCAACTGGATCCGCTTCAAGAAGCTGCACAGGAACGCGTGGTCTCAAGCCTGGGAGACCACTCGACAAGCGCTGTAACCCTGAACGTACGTATCAATCGACTGAACATCCTGAAGCCAATAGAGTTCATCTGCTATACAGGAGGGCCCTTGACGTTCTGGCATAGATGTAATATACAAATGATACGGTTTACTTCTTCTCAACAGAGGCTGCCGCCCAATTTAACGCCGCCTACACCAGACCCTTCAAAATCTCCACGACCTTATCGCCTAGTTCCTTGGTCGTCACCTTTCCGCCCAAGTCAGCAGTCCTGAGCTCGAGCCCGCCAGTCGCTTGAGTATCAAGCGCCTTGCGGACAGCGCTCTCGATAGCTTGAGCGTACTTCTCGAGACCGAGGGAGTAGCGTAGCAGCATGGCGGCGCTGAGAATAGTACCAACGGGATTGGCAATGCCCTTGCCCGCGATGTCCGGCGCTGAACCATGGATGGGCTCATAGAGACCCGGGGTGGGCTTGAACCCTGGCGAGGTCGCGTCGGCGACAGAGGGCGCGCCAGCGAGGGAAGCTGAGGGAAGGAGACCAAGAGAGCCGGGAATTACGCTGGCCTCGTCTGAAAGACTATGGGTAGTTCCCGATTAGCCCATGCCCCTCAGCACCAAAAAACATAAAGCTAACATATCACCGAAGAGATTCTCAGTAACGATGACGCCGTTCAGTTTTTTGGGGTTGGCGACAATCAGCATGGAGGCCGAGTCGACGAGGTGGTGGTCGAGGGTGAGCTGTGGGTACTCTGCCTGCAGCGTCTCGATGACGACCTTGCGCCACAGACGCGAGCTCGCGAGTACGTTCGCTTTGTCGATTGAGTGAATAGGGAGAGGAGGGTTCGCCTGCAGAGCGATCTGCGCCGCGACGCGCGTGATACGCTGCACCTCCTGAACACTGTACACCATCGTGTCCCACGCGGTCTCTGCCTCTGGACCTGCACCCGCACCGAGTTCTTGCCGCGCACCAAAGTAGACGCCGCCGATGAGCTCGCGCACAACGATGATGTCGACGCCCTCCGCAACGGAGGGCTTCAAAGGCGAGTTGGCGAGCAGGGAATCGGATGCGAAGTTCGCGGGGCGGATGTTGGCGTAGAGCCCGAGAGCCTTGCGGAGGCCAAGGAGGCCCTGCTCAGGGCGAACCTTGCTGTTCACGCCCCACTTCGGGCCTCCGATGGAGCCTGCGTGCCGGTGAGCATGGAATACGCACACGCGAGGGACCTACGTACCCATCAGGATGGCATCCGCTTCCTGGCATGCCTTCAGTGTGGATGCGGGGAGGGGCTCGCCGGTTGAGTCAATCGCACATCCTCCGAACTCGTGTGACTCGAGCTTGAGCTCAACGTCCTGCGATGCTGCAGAAATTACCTCGAGCACGCGGACAGCCTCAGCAACGACCTCGGGACCTTGAAGAACTAGTGAGGTTCATCAAAGAACGAATCTGCGTTGAAGCGCACCGATTCCGTCTCCGGGAAGGACTACGACGCGGAAACTGATTCCAGCAGTTCTGGTGAGTGGTTTGCGATGCGCCTAGAAGATGTCTGCAGGTACGTACGACTTCTTTGCCATTTTGTACAAGTCGCGATGGATGCGAGTTTTGTGAGGGCAATTGGGAAAGCTGCAGTTTGATATGAAGGAGTCGAGAGGGGTATTTCGGGATGAGTCCGTCGGCCGTCCGAGGCGCTATGGGTATGTATGTTTCCAGGCGCGACCCTCGCGAGTAGACATGACGCACAGATCGCGCGTCCCTGCCAATTTTGACTTCGAATCTCGGTACGAACGGCCGATTTCGATCAATATGCAGCACTTCCTCCACACACGTGATCCCACATTTTCGTCTTTCTCCCTCTACCCCCTCGTTCTCCATGGCGTGTCCAGCGTCGTCAGCGGTCCAAACAGGGCCGAAACCGGCGTGCAAGCATCTTGTGCTGGATGCCGGACCTCTTCTATCACTATCGCCCTTACGTGGACTCGCGGAGACTTACTACACCGTCCCGCAAGTCCTCGACGAATTGAAAGATAAGAACGCCCGGGAGCACTTCAAGCAGCTTGGCTTGTCAGCCGGGGTTAGCATTTTAGTGAAAGGTCCGATGATGACTTCAGTCGCACATGGTGAGTACCGCAGCAGAGGGTCAAGTGAGATGCTTATGTACGATCGTAGTCATCCAGTGGGCTAAGAAGACCGGAGACTACTCCGTGCTCTCACACGCCGATATCTGTGTACTGGCCCTGACATACGAGCTTAATCAGCAGGAGAAGAGCTCGACGGAGGCCGCAACACAATACGGGCAGTTTAGCAGCGAGGCACCCTTGGAAGGAGCAAAGGCCTCTTCTGAGCCCGAGCCTGCTGAGGCCAAGGTTGACGGATCTCAGGAGGAGACTGCTGAGGCAACAGATGCGGCAGTCCCAGAGACTGAGGAGCCCCACACATCCGATGCGGAAGAACCGCCGCCGTCCGCGACAGAGGATTCGGATAAAGCTGAGGAGGATTCGTCTGAAGATCTTGAGGAGAGGGAGCCACTCGATGTAGAGCTACAGCCCGTAAGAGGAGACAAGGATACACAAGACGGATCCTCCATCTCTTCTCCTTCTGCGTCCTCAAAACCCATATCTGCAGACCCCGCGCCCACAGAGCCCTCACAACAGCCTGTCGACGAAGAACCCCTGTACGACGATCCATCCGATGAAGACGACGGCGAAGGAGATTGGATCACTCCTTCCAATGTCGCTCTGCACAAGTCTCGCGCACTCGACCTCCTGCCATCTGAAGGCGCAGGCCGCAAGGGGAAGCAAAAGCAGGGGACGATCCCCGTCGGCTGCATGACCGCCGATTTCGCGATGCAGAACGTGCTCCTTCAGATGGGGCTCGGACTCGTCGGCGTCGAGGGCAAGCGCATAGAACGCGTGAAGAGCTGGGTTCTCAGATGTCACGCTTGCTTCAAGTACGTCGTCGTTGCCCTCACATATCCTTGAGACCACTACTCACTGTGCTGACTCCTGTTGCTCACAGGATCTGCAAAGACTCGTCGCGCAAATTCTGCCCTTCCTGCGGAAACCCCACCCTTCTTCGTGCATCCGTCACCATCTCCTCACCTAACGCGGGCCCGAACACCCCCGCGATGCAAGTGCACCTCAAAAAGAACTTCCAGTTCAAGACGCGTGGCACGATCTACTCGATCCCCGCGCCCAAGCCGGGGTCCGCGAAGACCGGGCCTGGGGAAGGGCTCGTGCTGCGCGAGGACCAGGCGGCCTGGCAGCGCGCGAAGAAGCGGGCAGATGGCAAGCGAGAGCGGGAGGAGAAGCGGATGCTCAACAGCGCGAGCAGGAGCGCGGAGATGGGACAGGGCGGGACGGTGATGGGGAGCTGGATGGACCCCGATTGGGTACCGGAGATCCTCAGTGTTGGCGCGGGCGGGAAGGGGAGGAGTACGAGGACTAGAGGGTTCGACGGAGACATGCCTGTGATTGGGTATGGGAGGAAGAACCCGAACGAGAGGAAGAGGCGGAAGTAGCGTTGAGGGGCAAGAAAGATTGTAGAGACCTACCTGGAGGAGATCTGGTTATCACACGTTGTACGAGACCGAAGTGTCATCTGAGACATAGTGCGTGGACTAGTTGTAATACACTTGTTGTACGACGTGCCTTCGACATGGCCTATTGTGTGCCCAAGCTGCGGTTCATGAACCTTCTCTTCTGGAACGACATCCACCACTTGCTCGGCTTGCCAGTGCCGTCCGCATACAGCTTCTCCACAAGTCGTGCTGTGAGCTCTTGTCGCGCCTGAGTGAGGTAGCCACGAAGGTACTCTGTGAAGCGAAAGGTATGTGACATTTTGAGTGACGCTTGAAGGAACAAAGCACTCACCAGCATCTGAACGGCTTGCCGGTGGTGCATAATGCGCGTTGAGAGCGAAATTAGCGTCTCCAGGGATGGGGAAGTTGTCCACCGCGAGGGTGTTCAACAACTTCGTTGCCTCAATCTGGCTGGGAACAGTCTTGGCCGAACCGATCTTGGCAAGGCAGTCGGAGATGAAGAGGATGAATATGATGAGGAGACGGTCGGCCGGGCCCTTGATCTCAAAGTTACGGAAGAGGGAGTTGGCGCGGAAGAGATCGAGGGCCTCGTCAATGATGTCCGCTTCTGAAGGATCGGCTAGGAGGTGCACCGTTAGTTCAACGATCCATTCGCAAGCAAGATCGTTTGGGCTGTGGACACATACCAGAAGGGGCCGGCCCACGGAACTTGGATTTGATTGGGAGAATGCCAAGGTTCCCAACCTGGCGTACGTCGGGAACCTCGTTGAAAGACGAGTGGTATGCCTGTACGCAGCTTGAACGACATTCGCCGCAGTCACACTAGTGAATCACTCACCGGCATGGCGAAGGCGTTGAGTACAGGATACAGCAGCTGCTCGGCGCGCACGGGCGCATGGAGATTCGGCAAAAGCCGAACAGCGCCTATTGATGCCGCAAACAATGTCATAGCGGCCCGCCAAGCCAAACGGTGTGCCTTGAACCGTACTCTGCTCCGCCGCCACCTCTGCTCGTCCGACTGCCTTCTCTCCCTGCGACTTTTCCGTATTTGTGCTGTCTGGATGAACAGATAGGCAGATTGTCACCGCATACCGCGTCGCGATGTCTCACGTTATTGTCGATCCTGAAGACCAGATATCTGTCCTGTCCGTTCAGTCCTTGGATCCTTCTCCGGACACAATCACTAGTACGTCCTCATGCGCGTGCAGCTTGTTTGTCCTTCTCCGACATAGGTTCTCAGGTCTAGTGAGGCGCGTGAAGACACTCACTCTCAAGCTCCTACCTCTCGAAGTTCCCCCGGACACTATCAGCGACCCCACAGGTCGGATTATCACGCCCGCAGTAATCAATGCCTACATCGACGCTGCCGGAGATTTTGTCGAAGCTGTGAGTCCCATCATTCTTCTGTGCCGGAGACAGTGCGTAATGAAAGTGATTGTCTATTTGAAGTTGCCGTACTGCCTACTCAGAGCGCGTAAGGAATTCTTGTTCGAAGCGAATCATAACCCTGCCGATTATGGGGAGAACGACTGCAGAGGTGAGTGGCTAGGCCTAGCTTGCTGGAGCAACGCTGATCGCACCCTAGCCACTGCTTGTGAGGTCCTCGCTCGCAGAATAGTACACCAAGCTCCGCCCGAGAAGATATATACCGTCATGTTTACTCGGTACAGGTATAGAGAGCTCGACGGAGATGTCAGCGGCAGGTCAAGTGCCTTGGAGACAGCGATCGACTCGCATTGGTGTGTGTCTTCCTATGGATAGCTACAATGCTCATAGGCTCACACGCTACAGTACCATCTTCCTGTCTTCCAGCGAAGCGCAGGATGGTAAGTTACATTTGTACGGCACAGCTTACATTGCTCACGTCCGCAACAGTGGTACAAGACCTCTGGTGCGGTAGAACTATCCAGCTATATGACGCCGACGGCGATACCAAGTGTGCGCACAATCTTATGGCGATTCAGCGCCGGCCGCTGATGCAGCCTCGTTATTAGTCGTCCCGAGGTCCGAACTCGAGTACGACAGCTTTTGGAGCCGCATTGACCCTCAGCGTATTGGAGTTCCCAGGTATCAAAACATATTCGGCATAACTGTTTGGTTCCTCTTCCTCTTCACATACTCTCAAGCAGGTCAGATTAGCCCTTCTCTGCCATCCGGACAGCTTCAGAGACTCATGTATATCTAACCCAGTTCGCGAGCCTTTGGATAAATTAGACCCCAACCACCGCGATCTGGATCTCTGGGAAGTTGTTATGTATGTTTTGGCTCTTGCATTCTCTTTTGAAGGTGTGTACTCTTCAGTGTCCGCTTGCGGTATGTTTCAATCAAGTGGGTTCCCTTGATATAGACTTGCACAAGGTAACTCTAACGGCGGTCACCTCGTAAATGTGGACTGATACATTTGCATTGATATAGATCTTCAAGTTGATCACCCTAGTGACATGGAGAGCCCTTGGATTCTGGAACATCGTTTCGTTCATATCGGATTCTCTCTTGACCGCGGCCTTCGTCCTGCGTGTGGCGGGCATTGTTGCTGCTAATCATGGTGGTCAAAGCGACAGTCTGCGTTACCACAGCTTCCAATGCCTAAGTTTCGCTGCGCCGTTACTCTGGTGAGTTTATCACCCGATGAAATAAGCCAACACTCTCAACTTGCCTTGACGTCGCAGGATGAGTGAGTGAAGGCGTGCTTTAGTCCCCTCTGGATGCTAATTTCCACACAGAGCTCATCCCGATATTCGACGGCTACAAGTAAGCTGGCAACGTGACCTCATGAAGGATCAGGATAACTAACGATCTCTCTCAGGTTCGTGGGGACGATGCAAATTTGTGTTGCCAGGATGCTCAAGGAGTCCGGGTTCTTTTTCTGTGTATGTGCATCGAGCCTCCCAATTCTGCCCAGTGTACCAACGACCTCTCTGTACCTGTAGCTTCTCGCGTTGCTCGGCATCGGTTTCCTGCAGGGTCTCTATGCCCTCGACGCCGCTGACGGCAACAGCGACCACCCCATTGAAGTGCGTTCAGTTTAGCATCTCTGCAGTTCTCCCTGCTGAATATAGCGTGTGGCAGATCTTGAATGGGCTAATCCAAGCGTTGCTGCAGTAAGTTGTTGTAACGTTGCTCCGGATTGTTTCGCGCTTACTAGAGCGTACCAAAGGGCGCCGAATTACGACATGTTTAGTGGCTCGTACGTACCCGAGCTGTAGATATGCACCTTTCAGCTCATAGCACTTTACAGACCAGCTGGACTTGGGCTCTACTACATGTGAGTCGTTAGTCGATATTCAAGGAACTCCGGTGTCCTGACTCTGTTCTTGCAATCAGGTGGAACGTTGCGACTGCTATCATCTTGCTCAACGTCCTCATTTCTCTGTTCTCGTCGGCCTATAACGATGTAGGTGTTTCTATCAGTGTAAGCACCCAGTCTCATTGACTGATGTAACCCTCTTCATGTAGGTGATCGAAGATGCGGCCGCCGAGTACCTCACATACTTTGCGGGGAAGGTGGTTGGAATGATCAGAGCACCGGACGAGTTCGTTTACCCACCACCGTTCAACCTCGTCGAGACTTTCCTGGTGGCGCCTTTCGAGTAAGCTTTCCTGTTGCTGCGGAGATATATTCATCTCGGTCTCAGATCGCTTTATAGGTTCTACGTGAGCCAAAAGACATACGCGAAGGTACGCCCTTAGCGCCTTGGCCACACGTAGGGTTCGGTGCTCACTTCGACTGGATCGCAGATCAACCGCCACGTGATGCAGGTCGTGTTCTTTATCCCGCTGTGCGTCATCGCGCTGTTCGAAGCACACCTCGACCCTGCGAAAAACCGGTGGGTCAAGGACTGGTTCACCTCGCCCGACGAAGGCGGCGAGGACGCGCCACACTTCCAGGATCCTGAGGTGAACGGCGATGATGGCGCGCGGGGTCTCAAGATCAGCAAGGTGCCGTTCAGCGAGCTCATCAAGGCGTTCCCGGATACCACACACGTGAGCCTCCCTCCATTCACCGTCCAAGGCGTATAACATTGTGCTGACGAACTTCGATGGATGGGCAGTCGAGCGAGACAGTGATACTGAAGGAGTTCAAGGCGCTCCGGAAGGAGATTACCGAGCTCAAGGAGCTTGTCAAGGGACTCGCTGCTGAAAAGCAGAAGACCGAATGACCCGCGGTGGAATGCGACATACCCGGACCATCAAAACAACTCACGGACTTGCTATGAACACGACGACCCGTTGATGATGATACCGGCTCCCCCGATGGACGTTGCTCTGGCCTCCGCGTTCCGTGCTGTGCTGTTAAATATAGCAAAGATATCCTACAAGGTATTGATGTATGTTGGCCGGCTCGGGCCCACTAGGTCTGATCCATAGCATCTTGCCCGGGCTCTCGTGTCAGTTTGGTGAGGACATCCATGCCGCGGACAAAGAACGGGCGAATCTCGTTGATCTCCATCGCGCAGAGGTTATTTAGCTAGATCATAGCGTTACTGTCAGGTACAGCTGAGATCGAAGCGACCCTCTGCCTACTTACCAGCAGTTCGTTGTGGTCGAGCTTGGTGAGACCTTCGCGACTCTTGGCTTGCCGCGCTTCTCGGATGTCTTTCAGCAAGGAGCGGATTCGCTCTGGATTCTGTAGATCGTCTGGTGCGCTGCGGTCAAGAACGGCACGTCAGCACTCGGTCCCCAAGTGCGCGCTAGTGAACAGGTTCCCACACGTCCAGCAGTGTCTTCGCGAGCTCCGCGAAGCGAAAAGGCATCTCGCTGAAGCTTGGAGAAGTCGTTTCTTCTGTTAGTCGCTCCTGGAGGAAGTCTATGGTGAATGACCGACCAGATGTCGGACTCAATGCCAGTCATACCGTATGACGGTAATGGACCGACGTACCGGTGTTGAGCCATACTGGAGGAACAATGTGACATTTCTTTTTGAGCTTGAGGTTGGACGCCATCCAAAGCGGGACTTTACACTTTGTCGGCGGTCGAAGAGGACCATATGCACCCTGAATGCGGGATGTTAAGGCCATTATGCTCCGACGGGGACTTACGTTCGATGCGGACGTACGGAGATGAATGCCGTCCTTTCCATAGAGACGAGAGGGACGATCTCGACGAGCTGTTCTGAGGCGACAAGCTCGAGCTCTGGAGGCGTGATTGAAGTCCTGAGAGAGGGCGGCAGCGCCATTTTCGGGGCGTTATCAAGTGCAGATGTTGTCGCGAATGGCGCGTAGAATCAGGAATAAGAAGTGTAAACGCAGATGTGCGTGGCTGACTCGGACAAGCTGCGAAAGACGCGTCGCGCGCGGCGAGATTGGCGGCTGTCACGATCACGTGGCATGAGGCGCGTCGGGTCCTGCCACGGTTGGGTTGGGATCTGAGATCGAGCCTGCCTTTTCCCCGCCACATCCTCCGCCTGAGTTCTCCACAGTTGCGCTGCTCAGGTCCAGGCCAAGACACTACGACCGCAGATACTCTCATTGCACGCTTTGCATTGCATCTGGTCTCTTATATTCCCAAATTTCCTGTGCAATCTCCCATTGCCGCCATTCCCTCGCTCCAGGATTGGACTCCGTGGGCAGGCATCTCGTTCTGCCTGCTCACTTGCGCTCTCAGCTTCGTATACGCCATCATGCTCGGCTCTAGGACCAAGCACGTCTTTTCTTATGGTCGTCGTGGACGTCGCGTAGTGAACGCATACGATGACTACGACCGGAAACATCAGGACGCGGATTCAGCCTCTTCCAGGCGCGAGAACGATGTGCCCCGTCCTCATGTCATGTCCGAGAAGGGGACGAAGGAGTCTCCAATTTCGAACAAGTCCAAGGTTTCTATGCAGGACAGCCCTCCTATTCTCAAGAAGAAATCCAAGAAGTCCCCTAAGGCCACCAAGGTTGGTATCGCTACCGCTAAACCCAAACCCAAACCCTCCTTCCGGCCACCTCTTGGCTCCATCGCCCCGAACGCTCCAGGTTCCCCTGCGTTACCTCCCTCTCTGCGAGCAATGCGACGTCCGACTGCTGCGCAGGCGTCCCCATTGGCCCCGCAATCCCCTGTGGTAAGCGTCGACATCATCGTTCTCGACGCTAAAGGTCGGCGCGTCAGCCAGGAGCATCGAATTTCTCGCATGGATGTGCAGACCAACGTCTTGGCACCTGCTCCTTCCAAGAAAGCTAAAATGCTTCCGCGTTGCCCAAAGTTGGGAACGGGTAAGAAGATGAGCGAGCCCATTGTGGTTACTTCAGACTCAGAAGAGGACATTCCCCTCGCCAGGCCGAAGCGGAATGTCCAGACGAAGGTGAAACCCATTGTCATCTCCGACTCCGAGGAAGACTCGGACAGCGACTTCGCTCCTGAAAACGAGACAGGGGACGTGGACACGTTTATTGAAGACGTTACCCTCACGACGCCTCGTTTCCGACGTCGCGTGCACCGAGCGCGGTCGAACGTCATTCGCTCACCATCACCTACACCATCTTTGTCCCCTTCGCCCCCTCCCGCTCTTGCAAAACCACAGCCGGCGATCAAGGCTCTCGCAGTCGCACATCCATCCGTTCCAATCACGCGCAACCTAACCTTACCGCCTCAACTCACACGCCCACAAACTCTCGCGCCCTTCTCATCCCTACCAGATTTTGATGAACCCGAAGCAGGGCCGAGCAGATCAAAGCCTCGCAAGCTGACCCCCATCCGCGCACGCCCCGGCCGCGCGCTCTTCCCCGCTCCCCCATCCCCACCATCCCCGACCACGCCCTCCGACTTCGACGCAGACGCCACCTTCGACTTCGGGCAGCTCGCGCTCTCCCCGCGCGCCCTCGCGCAGGTCCAGCAGCTCGAGGCCGCGAGCCTGCCCCCCGTGCCTGCGTACGTCCAGCCGCTCCTGGCCGAGTGCGCGCAGACGACCCCGCATGAGTTCTCCGCGTTCATCGAGATGTTCCCGTTTGACCCCATCGTGCGTCTGCACGACCCGCAGGGGCGCGCGGCGGGAGCGGCGGGGCCCCCCAGGTTCCAGAAAATCGGCGAGGCCAGCTTCTCGGAGGTGTTTGGCATCGGCGACGTCGTGCTCAAGATCGTCCCGTTGCGCGACGAGGAGCGGCACGGGGATCCCGTCGGGGGACCGAACTGGGCGATGGACGCGGAAGGCCCGGCGCCGAGCGATGCGAAGGATGTGCTGAAGGAGATCATCGTGACGAGGGCCATGGGCGCGTGCTGCTCGGGCTTTGTGGAGCTGTTGCGGACGTACGTCGTCCGCGGGAAGTACCCGTCGCTGCTGTTGGACCTGTGGGACGAGTATGCGGAGCGCAAGGGGAGCGAGAGCGTCCGCCCAGGTCGGTACCAAGAGTAATCGCGTCTCTCGGGCAGACGGCTAACGTGGTGATTCACTAGATCCCTTCACCGTGTCGCAGCTGTACGCAATCATCGTGCTACCCAACGGTGGTCCGGACCTGGAAGCGTACACATTCAGCACGCCCACCAAGACGGGCTGGCGGCAGGCCTGTAGCGTCTTCTGGCAGGTCACGCGCACGCTCGCGGAGGCAGAAGACCTGGTCTGCTTTGAGGTGCGTGCTATGCACCCACTCCATACATGCCACCGGCCCTAACCGTGACACGCGATCAGCACCGCGACCTGCACTGGGGCCAGATCCTCGTCAAGGACGCCCCCCCGAAGAGCGCGCCTCGGCGCAAGACGCGCGTGTCGATGGACGACGCCGGCCACGGCGTCCTCGTCACCATCATCGACCTCGGGCTCTCGCGCATGGACTCGCACGACGCCGCCGGGGCGGGCGTCCACTGGACGCCGTTCGACGCGGAGACGTTCGAGGGTGCGGGCGACTACCAGTTTGACGTGTACCGTATGATGCGCGCCCACAACGGCGACCGGTGGCACGAGTACCGGCCGCTGACGAACGTCATGGTGAGTCTCTGCGTTCGCGCACCGGAACAGCGTGTTGATGGTGGTTCGTCGTCCAGTGGCTGCACTACCTGGTGCTCAAGCTGCTGCAGTCGAAGCGCCTCCGCCCGCCTGCGGCGTCGCGCAAGAGCACTGTCGCGCCGTCGTCGGGGTTCAGCGAGCGCGAGTGCTACGAGTGCCTGAAAGAGGTCGAGGGCGTCCTTGGTCTGTGTCTCGCGGGCATCAACGCCCCTCAGGGCACGCGGAAGAAGGGCCCGGGTCGTACCCGCAAAACTCAAGCACCGGTGAAGGCGGTCCAGGAGGTTTTGAGCCCGCAGAGTGCGGGGGAACTCCTTGGGTTGGCTATGGCGAGAGGATGGGTTTCGTAGAACGGTCATGCGGTCGATGTATCTCTCGCCGCGCCTTCCCGCACCGCACTACATCTGGTGGAAGCTTGTTGTAATCTATCTGTACCCTGGTTCTTCTGAGATATGCATCGCGAAGGCTACTTCTCATCAAGTCGGTGTCGGAAACATCAAATCTGATCCAACATAGTGCATGTGGTCATTTATCATTGTAAGGCCAGGAGATGTGGCCAAGGTAACGGTCATAAAATGGTAGTCGATACTGCTACAGGTAGGTATCCGCTAGCAATGTATGGTGGGTAAAGGCGCAGTACGTGCTTGTGAGAGAATGCGGAACGGGTACACTTGGTAGAATACATCAGACAACGACAATTTGACATGACAGCGGACAACAGACAGCTCGGGTGATGGATCAGTGAATACACAGACTCGACAGATGGATATACTCGAATAAGATAGATAGTAACCCTCCAGTCCCGTCCATTCGGATTGTTCATGGGTCAGAAAACAGGATGTCACTGATTCGCAGATGAGGGGTAGTCGGAGGATTGACGCAATGCTGGCAGGGCAGTTGGTTCGCCCGCTGCTGTCAACTTGTAGCAGATTGCTGATGACCGCAATGGCCACAGCTACCTGTTCTCCTTGATGTCGCCGTTCCATCGCCGACCGCGCGTCGGTTTGGTTGCCGGCTCCGGAGGTGTGAGTTTCCGCTTCTTAGACGGGGGCTTCTGAGCTTGCTGGGCGATATGACCCGACGTCCTCGTGCGACTCGTACCCCGCGACGTGGCGGGCGCAGCGGATCTTCCGTCCTGTGGCCGCTGGCGTAGATAGTAGCGCGGCGCTGGCGCGTCCTGCAGCGGCGCCGGGCACGCCGCCCTTGAACGTGTGACAGGTGCATCAGGAGAACCTGAAGACGGGCGAGACTTCGCAGGTGTAGGTGTGCGTGTGCGGAACTCTGCTGGAGGCGGGAGGTGGGGGTTCCGGAGCTGCCGGCGCGGAGGAGATGCGACAGGGGAGACACGGGGCCGCTGCGAGCGTTCGGGGGTGAACCCGAGTTGTGACATCGTGACGTCCGGGTCAGCTAGTTGAGGCAGAACTGACTCGAGATGGGAAGATGGCAAGGCGCTGGTGTCCTGGACGGGCCATTGCAGTGACCCGTTTGGTGTGACGAGCGGCGTGTCGATATATGGCTCTGACTCCTGCGACTCTCCCTGTATGCTCGGCTGGGATTGGGGGAACGTGTTGATAGGGCTGAGCTCGCCCTGGGGGGAACGACGTCCTGACTTGTTTGGGGTCGTCGGGAATTGTGCGCCTCCTGGTCGGGGCCTGGGAGGCGATGGCTGCCGCATAGCGTACGAAGGCTGTGGAAAGATGAATGGACGCGTGTTGAAACCCTGTGACGGCAGGGGCTGCTCGTCGGCGGGCTCTGTCAGCGTCCGCGCGAGCGTACCCTTCTTGCGGTAGCGGGATGTGTGGCTCGTGCCGGTCCCGGATGAGTCGATGTAGAACGTGCGCTGAAAGCTTGGGTCCTCCTCGTCGCTCTCTTCGCCATCGTCGCGGCCTGTGCTTGCGATCATGTCGCGCGCACGCTGGAGAATTCGCGGGCGTGGCTGGACCTGGACCGAGAAACGGGGGACGGTGGTTACGGGCGGCAAGGTGTTGTCGTACGCGAAGTCACGAATCTTGATGCCGTGAGTGGTGGTCAGCAGCGCGGCAGCGTCCTGCGTTCCATCGTCAAATATTGCTTGAGGGTGCTGCGAGAAGGGCATCGGCGGAGGCGTCGGTGTTCGTGTTTCGTCGCCACTGTCATTGTGCTATACAGAAAGTAGCATATAGCTGAGTATTTTAGATGTTCGTTGAGCAAAGACTGTTCTCCACTCACGATGTTAGATGTTGATGGCTCGCTATCACTTGAACATGCATTTTTCAGTGGCTCAAGGGCATGACCTTGGAAATCAGGCCGTTGAGTTGCAGCACACATGTGGAGGTGGTGGTTTGACAGGCGGTTTGCTACGCGGAAGTCGAACGAGATCGGGCTGAGTATTCGCGGACCGCCACTCGGACGGGTTCTTCGGGCTGGTGCCTCGTTGCGCGGCGCGGAGCTGGTTGCGATCGAGAACAAATATGGGCAGCAGATCAAGTCGACAACGTCAGGATGGATTGCACGCTCGTCGTTCGTTGGGACAAAGCTTTCCGCGACGACAGTGAGAGTTGGCTTCAAATACAGGAGAGATGCTCGTCGTCGCTTGTCAACCCGTGGATGCCTGCTTGAAAGCTGAAATGAAAGGCTGCAGCGGCCGGTACCATACAGCCAACCCGAACTGCCGTTGACTCCGAGTCACTCCGGCTCGTTTAGGGAATAAAGCGCCCAATGTGACACCGTCACATTTCACCTCGCTTAGATGAAGACGCCTTACCTAGATCGACTGGCACAGCCAACTCACCATCGCTCGCTACTGCTTTCGGCTCGTTATACTTGCGAGACGTTCTACCGCTATGCATCTCACCGATTCATGAATAGCTGTCACCCAACGCTCTTGATATGAACAAATTGGCCCCCGTACTACCTGTAAGGTATCCAAGTCCCAGTACTGGGCACGTACGAGCTCGACTCAGCATGCCCTCCGGTTGCAACGTTGACTCATGAGGTTATTTTCTCGCAGTCGTCAGGATTGCTGACATGTGTGGTGCCTCTCTGAGTATATGTCTCACTGCACAACAATGTTGCCTGTCAAGAGCCCGTGTTGGCCGACCCCTGTCCGAGAACAGGAGGTTTGATACCGCCGAGCACCGCTGGATTATAACAACATGCTGTGCTTTATAGCACCCTGCTCCCTAAGAGCGACAGCGCCTTCTCGCTAGCCTGGGAGCATCATTCGCAGATGTGTCCATTTGATATTGAAGATGCAGTAAAGAAAGCGTGTACGCGTACGCGAGGGTGTTCCCTTCTCCATCTCCTCCTTCATCTCCCTGTCTCTTTCTTAGGCCTCTTTCGCTTTGACTTGCCGTTTGCCATGTCAGCCTCTACTGACAGCGGCTCTTTCATTTTCGTGGATGATCGTGACACCTCCTCCATAAATTATGAGACCCCTAGTCTGTGGTTCGCTACGTCCGACCAGCAGGCGGCGGACGGTACGGTTACCGCGGGTATCTCGGGAGCGAAGGCCAGCTTCAGCTTCACAGGTGAGTCAATATTCATGACTATATTCTCTTCCAATGTGGTAACAAATGCCGCAGGTTCCGCCATCGCCGTGCTTGGGGTTGCCTCAACCGTACAAGACTCAACGCCTCCTACTGTCCAGTTTGCGCTCGATGGTGTGACAGTTCAATCGACAACGGCCCCAAACAACGGCAGCATTGACTTTTCCTTCCCATACCTCGTTCTCGACTCCATCAAGGGCGGGCAACACACACTCGAGATGGCTGTGACTGACGCCACACAGGAGTACCCGTTCGCACTCGACTTGATCCTGTACGCGGCTTCGAACGGAGCCACCCCGACGGCTTCGCAATCCGTCGTAAATACGTTCCTTCCCGCCGTCACTGTGACGGGGCAGCCTACGAGCGGTGCTTCGGGCAGCAAAAGCGCACCTGTGGGTCCCATCGTCGGGGGCGTCATAGGTGGCATCGCAGTACTGGTCGGCGTCGGCGTCGCGATCTGGTTGTTCTGTTTCCGGAAGAGGAATCGCAACGGACAGGCCTATTTCTACGCGACGTCTGCAAAGCCCGATGAACTGTTAGATGACGAAGGTATGTGGTATCCTCATGAGGCCACATTCATATGGTTCTCAATTCGCTAACTCCGGGACCTTACAGAGGCGAAACCTACCCCATACGAGATTCCACCTCAATCAGTAGCGCCCTCTTCGACCTTGGGTCCGGGATCCGCATATAGTGCGGCACTTCCGCCTCAGTCTGCCTACACCGCGTCGTCCGCACACTCGGGACACTCAGGGCACCATTCACAGCAGGCTCCATACGCACCCTCTGAGGCACCCATCAGCGAGTATGGCGCTGGCAGCTCGTCTGTCTCAGGGCCATCGCATCCGCCGTCCTTGTTCGTCGTCACCAACCCAGAGCGGCAGACGAACAGCCCCAATCAGCCTGGGAGAAGCAAGGCTGCCGAGGCCGGCCTGCTCTCCGTGCCGCAACAGGCAACGTATCATGCTGACTCAGGCGTCCGCTTCGATGAAAACGGTCGGCCGCAGCCCGTTGCAGGCGGGTCTTCGTCGTCG